TTGCTTGAACCCAGGAGTTTGAGACCAGCCTGGACAACATAGTGAGACCTTGTTTCTATGAGAAATTAAAAAAAAAAAAATTAGCCGTGTGTGATGGTGCATGCCTACTATTTGTGAGGCTGATGCAGAAGGATCACTTGAGCCCAGGTGTTGGAGGCTGTAGTGAGCTATGATCATGCCACTGCACTCCAGTCTGGACAACAGAGTGAGACCTTGACTCAGAAAATAAATAAAATAAAATAAAATAAAATAAAATAATTAGCAAAAAAGAGAATTGTCTACCAGAAAAAAATTATGATATGATAAAAGATAAAAATTATAATATGAAGTTCATGATTTATATTTATTTTTCACTTGGCTCTTACCAGATTTCTAATACTGTACTAGGTACTTCAGATATTATAGAATTAAATTTTTTTCCATAACTGTTGCTTAAATGCATACATTTTTTCATATATAATAAGTGGACAATATCTTACAAAGTTAAAAATTAATGGGATCAATTGTTACTCATATTAAAGAACCATAAATTTGGCATCTGTAAGTTAACAGTAATGATTTGTAATGTTATCTTAATGTCTTTTATTTTAGGGTTTCCCAGGTCTCACTAGCCTGAGATATAAGTAGGGTAGTGTTAGTAGTAATATCCTAGTGATAGTAATATCACTGCCTCTAACTCCTACCTTCATAACACAGGAGGTTAGTTCCATCCAGTTGTTTCTGAGAATCCCAAAGTTGCCCCATGTGAATTCAAGAATTCCTCTTAATGTCTGTCTTGAACCTGTGAGGTCATCTGAAAAGGACCCCCAGTGCTGCTGTCCTGGCCTTCCTGAGAGCCCTGATTTTTGGCTGAGGTGCCATTCTAGACTCTACACCTGCAAATCCTTAAGATGCTAAATAGCTTTCGTTTCCTTGGACTACTACTCATAGTTCTACTCAAACCATACCTGTTGGTCATAATTTTCACAAGTAGCACTTTTCTGAAGACTGCTAATAAGCCAGATTGTATTTCAAGACCAAAGCCACATTTGTTTATCTGCTGAAATAGTACCACCATACGGCACAAACTTGCAATTTTAATTCATTTTTCCACCAGCTTCGAAAGGAAGTGCTTCTTGATAAATTGTTAATTTGGAGATTGCATTATTTCAAAATTTGGCATGTTGTATGATTTTGTAATATTTTGGGGGTTACATTACTTCAAATTTTTAAAATTAAAGAGTTTTAAATTTTAGATTCGGGGGTACAAGTGCATGTTTGTTGTATAGACATATTGTGTAGTTGTGGGAATTGAGTCTCAGGTGACCCATTCCCCAGATAATGGGCATTGTACCCATAGAATATTACATACCCACCCACTACCCCCATCTCCTTCTTTATTGGTGTCCCCAGTGTCTATTATTTCCACTTTTGTGGCCATTAGGTTCCTGCATATAAATGAGAACATGTGGTGTTTGGTCTTCTGTTTCTGAGTCAGTTCACTTAGAATGATGTTCTCCAGCTCTCTCCATGTTACTGCAAAGTACATGATTTTGTTATTTTTTGTGGGTGTGTAATATTCTATGGAGTCACATGAAATGTGATGCTAAGTTTTCTGTACAAAAGTAGGGAACGTGCCTTTCCTTCATTATACATTGCACAGGTAGAGCTGTATACCTCGTAGGAGCAGTTCTTGTGTTTGCTGTTCTTTCTTCCGTAAGGCTTAGACCTCCAATCCACATGACTGATATAGATGCCATAAGGTTCTCCACTCTCATTATAATCTTTTTTTCCCCCCCAAAGGTCAGGGAAGAAAACCCTTCCTTAGTCTCCTCTCTGTCCAACTCTAAACGAAAATGTTTAAATTGACTTTTGAACTTTTTAAAAAAATTCATTAGACAGGCCCAGGTAACTGAATTCTTTAGATTTCAGTCAGGACTATCCTTCCTCTGCCCCTTGATATTCATTAAGTGTTGAAAAATACAGAAAAGGAGAAAGATAAGACATTCCTCACATAAACTGGGTTTGTACTGCAAATGTGTGGTCTTGTTTGGATCCTGGTTTGAGCAAACTTGCTGTATAAGACATATGAGGGGAAAATTCCAGAGAACTGGATGTGGAGTGAATGCTAGATGATATTAGGAAATTATTGTTATTGTCTAAGGTGGGAAAATGGAATTGTAGTTGTGAATAAAATGTACTCATTTTTAAAAGATGGATATTTCTAGACTTGGGGGATGAAATGTCATGATGTCTTAATTTATATACTTAAAAATGTTAAAGGTAGAGTATGAGTACTAGGTGTTCTAAAATGAAGTAAAATCTTCTCTGTAAGTTTGAAATCTTTAAAATATTTCTTTTAAAAAGACTGAGATACTTTTTAAAGACTGAGTTGTAATCATGCTACATATGATATTTTCCAAAAGGAGATGTTTTATATTTTGCTTATTTTTCTCTCTTCCAATCTATAAAAATATGTTTCCTTGAAACAATGTGCAATTGTATTCTGTTGGAACTCAGCTTAAAACAGTGGGTCTTAACATTTTTCTGTCTCCAGTGTTCATAAAAGATAAGACATAGTAGTGACTTATCATAGCAGTAATTCTTGAAGAGGGTGGGAATGGAGGACTAAGGAAGATGGGGAGTGAGTATGAGTGGTTTAACAGAATTTTCTCAGGTGATTCTAATTGGCTTCTACAGAGAGTCAAAAGAAAAAATTTGTATCAAATTATATAAATTGGAAAAATTCTTTTATACCCAATTCATTATTTAGATATTCCCACACTTTAATTTCAAAAAATTATCTTATGGCAGAATTTTTTCTTTCATTTCCAGACCTGAAACTAACCTAATACTTAGACTCTCAGAAATCATATTGTGTCAGTTATAATCAGCAGGTATCTGGGGACAGCAACATTTGTGTTGTGAGTGTTATGTGAGGTCACTCTGAGGCCCCCCGAACTTAGCACTAAGTTGCTGTTTATCCAGTGACTTTCCCACAGAATTGTTGCCAGAAATCCTTTACACTCCATTTGTAGTAGTCAGATGGCAGAGAATTGACCTGCATCTAGGCAGTTTTCTCCTGCTGTCTATTAATGAATACATAAATATTTGTTGAACTCCTACTCTGTGAAAAACACTGCAAGCTGACTTCAAAGGTGAGAGAAATAATATTTTCCAGTCACAAGCAGTTAAACAATGGGTAACAATGGTAAAGGGTAAGAAGCCAGCCAGTGGCTGGAGTGTGGGTGGTAAAAACATGGATAGAGGGAATGAAGCCATGTGACTAAGTTGTCCAGGCATTTGCCCAATGAATGGAACAGCAAGAGGTTCTGTGGAGCTGCAGTGGAGTCAATACATGCTCACCCCGAGTGAAGGCCTGGGTATTACTGGGCTAGAGTCCTCTTGCATGTCAGTCCCTTGGAGATGCTCTCTTAAGCTGCTTTTCCCTGTGAAGAAAACCAAGAGGATGTCAATAATGAGGAAAAATCACGGTAATTTTTAATTCTGTTAGTTTTTTGCTTGTTTTTAGTGGGAGAACACTAAATGTGAAGTAAAATAAAAATTTAGAGAAAGAAACTCTTAAAGGAATTTTAGAACAACAGAATTTCTTCTGGACTATTGTAAATCATGAATTAATGAGGACTTAAACTGCTTATTGTAACATAAGAATAGAAAAATTTTTAATGCTATTTAAATGTATTGCTCATCAAGAAAGAAAACTCGAGTTCAAATGTTACTTGCTAAGTTATGATTTTTCTTTTCAAAGTTATTATTGCTATAATGTTTTGAACTACATTCATTTTATCATATAGTCATAACTTTTTGACCTATACCATTTATTGTAGATATTTATTTACACTTTTCAGGTAATATCTTCTAAAGAGAATCATGCTTAGGAAATTTAGGAACCTACAGCAGAGTTGAAAAATTGTAACGGAGATGAAATTTGTCTTTAGCTCTGCCATTACCCTCCTTGGTTATATCTTCCCTGCTATCATATCCTAAGTACTCTTTCTTTACTCATCTGGATTCCTTCCACCTATAAAAAAATTGAATTAGTGAAAAATGACTTCAATCACTCATGTTTCCCTCACCATAAGCATAATATGCATTTAATTCCCATCAAGTGAGGATTTTCAAATGTCATTGGACATGAGGTAGAAAGAATGTCAAGGGACCTGTGGGCTTCCTTGTATACCTAAAACAAATCCTTGATTAACATGTATATGCCATGTCTATGAATTTAACAAAGCATTTACAGCACTGTGCAAAGGAGAAAGACATTTTCCTTAGATAAATAGAATTAAGAATTCCTGGCAGTTGGTATAGATTTTAACCAAACTTATCTCTACACCAAATAGATATGACCATATGTTTGTATATCTATGTAGTAAGCAGGGTGGCAATTAAGAGAAAAAGTTATCATAAGCACTTAACAGTAGCCATGTGCATATAATAAATGAGTTAATATAATATTATTGTCTTTACTTATTAAAGAATGTACAGAAGGTACAGATGATTTCAAGTAGCTGTTCCCACATGCTATTGTGAATAGTAATAAATTTGCGTATTCCACAGTTTAGACTTTTAATTTATGTAGATTTCCTATTACTGTTTGGTAAGTGAGGAATCCTCACTTGCTGAAAATAGAATCTCATTTCACATTCCTGAGAAGACAAAATTGTTTCGTTTTAATAGTGACCTGTAGACCTGCAACTCTACACTATTATTACTATAACTAATAATAACAATGTCATAATACTTATCTTAAAATGCTTTAAAGTAAGTGAGATGTAATGGGAACATTTTAAGCTATGACTTTAACTTCTACAAAATTGGTTATAGGCACACACAATAAAATTCCAAAGTATATAAATGGTGTATAGTGTTCTTTTAGTTCAGTCCCTCAGCTTCCCAAGTCCTCTCCCCAGAGGCATCCATTGCTCTTTCTTGTGTCTTTTGCAGAAGTAGCCTGTCATTTCATTCATTTATAATGTTCAATTATTAATTTATTTTAGATGACTTCAGAAATGATGATAAAAGCATGCACCTTTTATACTGGACACTTAGTAAAGACCCATTTTTGGTAAGAATGCGTGTGCTTTTTTTTTTTTTGCATAAGAATGTGATTTTTACATAGACTTTTTTTTCTTTGTGTTTTCTTTTTTTAATATTTTCCATAAAGAGACTCACTTTTGACCAGTTGTGCTAACTTTATCAATTTAATCACATTTTCACTATTTTGTATTATATGTTTATTTTATATTTAATTAACTTTTACTTGGTTAAAATATATCCTTTACTTTTTCAAGGTATTACTTTTACTTTTCTTAAAAAATACAACTTTAAAACAGAAAGTATAGGTTCATAACCCACTTATCTGAAACCTTTGGGGCCAGATATGTTTTGGAATCCTTTTTATTAAAAAAATCATTAGGGTTATTCTTTTGGTAAGTGAAGTTATAACATGACTTTATCCTATGATTTCTTTATCTTATCTGAAAAGAAATGTAACTATCATATAATCTCCATTTTTACTCTATAACTATCAGGAATTCTTTGGGTCATACCCAATTTGTAGAAGTTTTTTCCTATGCTATGGTTTTTGAGAAGATAAAGGATATATCACTTTTTGTTCCTTTTAATTTATTTACCAATATATTATTACCCTTACATCAAAATATCATTTTTCTGCATTTTCTTCCTGCAGCACTTGGAGAGACATAGCAATACCTCGTGTAAATGAAAATGAAATCCTGACTGAAAAAATGGAAAGAGCAGCAGCATTTTACAATTTCAGACTTCAAAAGTCTCTATTTCATCACTGGCACTCCTATGCAGAAGTCAGGAAAGAGAAACTTAAAAGTAAATCCTTACATAGTAGCAACTAGCAATTAGTTTTTGTATCCGTTTATTCAAAGAATCAAGCAAAGTAACAAGCATAATATGTACATCTAGAAAATTGATTATTTTTATTTAGAGAATTGTCATGAAATGATGACAGAGCCACTAATTTAAAATACTTGAGATTTGTCTCAAAGGATTTTAGTGTAATAAAAACAGGCATATTTAAAATCAAATCCTATGTATATTTATGTGTATGTATACATGAATATAAATTGGATCTATTACCAGCTTATGTATGTAATAGTTGGATATTATGGATGGGTAGTTACCAAAACTGACTATTTTTGTAGAGAGGTCTATTTTTCAATTAAAAAAACCATTTTTGTTATAAAAAAGCTTTAAATAAAAGTCTATGTTTTTTTAAACAAATATTTCATTTCATTCATGAATATATGAAAAAACTTAAGACCTTGGTGGTTGTAATGCATGGGCAGTGCATGCATGTGACCTTAGGAGTGGGAATCAAGACTCCAACCTTCTGCCTAGATTTTTTTGGTGTGTGCAGCTTTCCAGATAATGACTAGTTTATGGCTGCTGACCCTTCTGCCTCAGCCTCATGAGTAGTTGGAACCACAGGCCCCATCACACCCGACTAATTTTTGGATTTGTTGTGGAGATGAGGTCTCGTCAAGTTGTCCAGGCTAGTTTTGAACCTCTGGGCTCAGACAAATCTCGTCTCCGCCTCCCAAAGTGCTGAGATTACAGGTGTAAATCACCTTGCCCAGCTTTCATTTCCTTTTGACCAGCTGTTGTTGGTACCTTAGTCAGAGTGGACTCTCTGGGTTCCTTACGTGTATGTGTAAGGAAGGGTTAGGAAATGGTTCATTGGCTAAATTAGAACTTCACAGGGTTGTCATAGTAGGTAATAACTGTCTTCAACATTCATATATCCTGCATGAACTGCAAACTTGGTAGTGAAAGACATTTCGTTTGTATGTTACAAAGGCCTCTTTGCACTTCCAGGTTTTGTGGTTTTCTGTGTCTGCTTCTTGTGGCGACTTCTTGCTCCTTTGTGTTTCTCTTTTCATGTTTCTTCCCTTTCCTCAAGGCTTCTCCTGTTCCTGCACCTTCCTTCCTGTTTCTCTATCATTCTGTCTTTAGTCTCTTTGGGCTTTTATCTCCTGATTGCTTTCTCACTGTTAGTTGAGCCATGTGGAGCTGCCAAAATTCTTTCCTCCTATGCCCCCTCTCCCACACCCTCATTTTTCTTTCCCCCCAATGCCATCCACTTGCTGCTTTTCCATACTTCCCCCATTGCTGCCTTTTGTTTTCTTCTCATCCCTTTTGAGCTCTTGTGTACATTGTATAGCACGGGAGCATATTTTTTAAAAAGTGTTTAATATATTTATGTAAAAAAGGTATATTCCTGTTTACAACCAAAATCAAGTAATTTAAAGGTTATGTCATCTCTCAGAAATGTCCATGACATTACTATTACAGCGCTTTGTAGAGGCTATTTCTTCTCCCACTCTTCTCAGGTCAGAATATGTTCTATGTAATCCTGATCTTTAAAAAAAGTGAGCATTTTGCTTGATAATTAATTGTCAGAAATTCCAAATAGCACACCTAATTTATGACTCCTAGGAGGAGGCATTAAAATGAGCAAAACTATGACTGGGTTCAGTGACTCATTCCTGTCATCCTAGCACTTTGGGAGGCCTGTGTGGAAGGATTGCTTGCACTTGGGAGTTCAAGACCAGCCTGGGCAACATAGTGACACCTCATCTCTACAAAAAGTAAAAAATTAGCTGGGCATGGTAGTGCACACCTGTAGTCCCAGCTACTCAGGAGGCCAAGGAGGTAGGATCACTTGAGTTGGAGGCTGTGGAGAGCCATGATCATGCCACTGTACTCCAGCCTGGGCAAAAAAGTGAGAGCCTGACTCAAAAAATAAATAAATAAATAATAAAATATAACTAAAATTTAAACATTTTGTTATATGTTTATATAATGCTGCAAGAAACCCTTTTTATATCTAAGAAATATTACAAGCTGATATAATTTAGAGTATGTATAAATAATCTTCTGGTATATTAGGTGATATACAAATATGTTTCTGATAATATAGTGTAGTAATTCCTTCCAGAATGTTTTTACCTTGTACTTGTTATAAAACATAAGTACTTGTTCATTTCCTTCTTATGTAATAATAGTCCAATTCGAGAACTATTAATTAGCTAAACTAGTTGAGTTCTAAGCTTCCTGAAGAGTTTGCTTAGCTTTTAGGACAAAATTGCAAAGTTAATGGGGTGGTGACCCACAAAGACTGATGCACAGGGAAGAGAGAGATTTTAAAATTCTGTCTGTTGTGTTGAAAACTGGTAAGTCTGCATGTTTTGCTCTGTTTCCAAAATATTTAAAAATCTAAGAAAATTTGTTGCCAAAGTTTAAATGTCAAAAGTATTTACATAAAATCCAGATATCTTGCTTCCTTTGAAAAAAGTAAAAAAGAAGCAAAATAAACCAAAGATGTAAAAAAAAAAAAAAAAAAAGCTGGTCTTCTATTTCTTAGCAGAACAATTGACTGCAGTTAAAAGCCACTGCCCTTTGTGGGGAGCATCCTCAGGCCTGATTTCATCACCATCCTTCCTGTGTTTGAACTTTGGGCCCTGGCTGACGTGCATAAGGCAATTCATTTCATCATAAGGCATGTAATTAAATTCAAAGACATGAATCTGAATGCTACCTTGGGATTATATTTCTTATGAATAAGTTTTGAAGTTCTGGTTTTATAAAGAACAGACTTGTAAAAAAAAGTCTTTACATTTACTTTAAATGTAAATGACTTTACATTTCTATTTCAGCAATAACATATTAATTTCTAAGGGCAATGGTGATGCTTACAGGTTAATAAAGTCTCAGGAGGAGTCCTATCTAATGCTGTCAAAAGTAATAAATTCAAGTGTAATTAAAAGCAAATAAAAGCTATCAGATTATTCATAGTATCAATATAATAGACTATTGATTCACTTTGGTTTTTTGGGAAACATCTATAACTATGTATATCTATTAATTTTTTTCAGATATGTTATTGCAGATACAACAGATATTCAGTTATCACAAACTAAAAGTTATCCTAATAAAATGGCGGGATAAAGCAAGATATCAGAATAAAAAGAGAGAAGATGAGCTAGTATGTATATTGGAAATAATTTTTTAATTATTTGAAATTTTCAGTTGTGTTTATTTTTCAGTTATATTTATTTGCCTCAGATAATAATGCTATGGGAGAGGGACCCAAGGAACTTGGAATTTATTTTTTTTAAATTGTGTATTTATTCTTACGTGTTTAAACTTCAGTCACTGTCAAAATATTCTCCTTTTGATGCAATACACATTTTGAGACTTTTTTCCCACTGCTCAAAACAGTTTATGAACTTGTCAATTTTGACGCCTTTGAGTGTTTCTGCTGTTTTTGTTTCACTTCTTCCATATCAGCAAAACATTCCTCTTTGAGGACTTTTTTTCATCTGGGGAAAATTAAAAAGTCGCTTGGGGTGAGATCGGGTAAACAGGGAGGGTAGGGCACAGGGATCGTACTGTTTTTGGTCAAAAACTGGTGGACATTCAGTATGGTGTGGGCAGGTTGTTCCTATAAATCACCCATCATGAAATGGGCAAATGTGTTGAAAGAATCTCCAGAAAAAAATTCACTGAAGCCAAACACAGCGTCTCACAACAATGCTAGTTGGTACACTGATATCCTTGGGTTCCTAGAACACTTACCTAGTGGGGGAGGCCTGCACTACAAGGGACCCACTCCCCAAAAAATTATTTTTTGGGGGGAATCATCCCTCATGTGTGTGGAAAATACTAAAATCTTGAATATTATATACTTTTGGTGAGGCCCTTGTTCTTTGCAATTTCTATTTAAATTTTACTTTAGCTACCCCACATTTTCCAATAATTTCTGTTGTTTCATTTGAATATTAAGAAAAAATCTTTTAGCATTTTGTTTAAGTTTATTAATAAAGAAATTAAGTATTTTGTTTAAATAAATATGTAGATGGATAGGTAGATGTCTGAAATGGAAGAGAAACTATTTGATATGATTACAATAGAGAAATAAATGATAAAGACTAAGTTTATTCCTTTTCTAGATACAATTAAATTGCTATTTATTTATTTTTTAGCATTATTTTAATAAATTGCAATTTCAAAATTAAATAATTTCTTAAATTACTAAATTGCTAAACTTATAAGGTCATTCTTAACTGGGAAGCCGACTAGGAATTAAAGGTATTGAAACAGAACTCAAGGAAACTCCTCCAAACTTAAAAATACTCTAGTTTGCTTAAGCTATTAGTGTATCATTACTTCATATTGTTTTAGAACGCTTGCAATAACTAGTAGAATCAGACATAGAAACTGCTGGATTTTTTTGTAGCTACATTATTTAGTAGGCAATATTTTATTAATATCTGTTGAAATACAAAGTTCAGACAAATAGAAAAGAGAAACAATGTAATTAAATCTCGGCCGGGCACTGTGGCTCACTCCTATAATCCCAGCATTTTGAGAGGCTGAGGCGAGAGAATTGCCAGAGTCTGCAGGTTCGAGACCTGCCTGGACAACATGGCAAGACCTCATCTCTACAATAAATCAAAAAATTAGCTGGGCGTGGTGGTATGAGCCTGTAGTTCCAGCTACTTGTAAAGCTGAGGTGGAAGGATTGCCTGAACCCAACAGTTCGAGGCTACAGTGGCTGTAAGCAGCATGCTACTGCACTCCAGCCAGGGTGACAGAAGATGAGCTAGTATGACTCCATGAGACTCTAACTTAAAAAAAAAAAGAAATTGAATCTCCCTTTTTTGTGCCCCATGATCAATGCCCCCACTCACCTGAATTTGGTTCAGATGTTGAGACTGACAATTGCACACATGCAGCAGGAGAATATAAGAAGATTTATTACTCACATAATGCTTTAAACAGTGGCAGGGCCCACAGACAACACTGAGATGTCTAAAGCATAGTTCCTGCTCTCTAAAAGTTTATATTCTATGGGTTTGAGCTGGTGGTCTTGTCTTCTAGCCTTTGCCTTTTGTGGACTACCTTTTAACATTGCCAGTTAAACAGTTCTATTTTAGGTACTACCACATTAGTCTGTTCTTTCGGTGCTTTCCACCACTTTGTGTACTTAGCTGGTGTTTTGATAGCTGCCCTCTATGTCTGATCTCTGATTGTCTAATGGTGAAATAGGTAACTGAAACATGACCTGTCTGCTCCTTTCACACTCCCTCAAGTTGAACGTCTCTGAGGGCAGACAGTATTGTTATCTTAGACTTCCTCATATGCTGAGCATAATGTTTTCCACACAGCAGCTGATATATATATAAATATAAATATATAATGCATATTATATCATATATACTATGACAATATTATCCTTAATATATATGTGTATTATATGCTTAATTGGGTGTTTAGAGGAAATCCTTTGTTCTAGATATATGACTTATTGGCCTAACATTCATTCTGCATTTATTTAGGTGGAGTCAGGATGGTAGATGTGTGCTGGGAGCAGAGGAAGGAAATACCTGTGTCTAGCAATCAATGTGTGATCTTTCTTAGGCTCTAATGTGTGTGTGTGTGTGTGTGTGTGTGTGTGTGTGTGTGTGTGTGTGTGTAAAACATCAATATTCTGTGTGTGTTTTTGAGTTAAATGTTAAATACTTATTACCCTTAGAGATTTTTATTTATATGTGTTTTTATATTTTGGCTATATCTATGTTAATTACCTCTATTTCATGTACCAAGTATCAGTTCCATATGACCAGAACCGTGACTCTGTGAGCCTCAGCTTCCTCACCTGTGAAAGAGGAGTCTAAATCAGATCTTCCAGTTGGCTCCCTGTGTCAATGTTTTATGACAACTAAATCTATATTGCTTTGGTAGTTCAGAGGCTATTAAACATGCCAATGAAAAATAATAATTTATGTAATAATGATCATAGATAATGTTTAATTGGCACTATCATTGTGTCAAGCACCGCACTTTGTTAACTCTTTTGACCCTTACAACAATTTCATGGTTTGTAAATTATTTTCATTGCAGATATTAAAACATGAACTTCAGCTGAAAAAATGGAAAAATAAGGCAAAACTAAGGAAAGCTGCTGAAGAATCTGGTCTTCATGAACGAAGTTTTTCTGAAGACTCTCTTATAGGAGAAACTCAAGAATTTGACATTTCAATGCTACCTGAAAGAGCAATATTACAGGTTTATATGAATTCAGTATACATTATATAATATAATTTTACTTTTTTATGTATTGCATGGAGTTAGCATAAAAATATTTTTGCCCATGATTTCCTCCTTTACAGATTACTTGTTCATATCTGTTGAAACCGACATATCTTGTCTGTTTTTAGGTTGTAACTCTTACAATTTTCTTATTGGGTTTTGGTAGATCATTATATAGTGGCAATATTAGCTCTTTGTTTGGAATATATTTGGAAATTTTTTCCCACACTTGATGTTTGCTTTCATTTTTGCCTGTGGAGTCTTTCTTTCATTTTTAGAAAAAGTAATTTTTAAAAATTTATCTTTATTTCAGTAGCTTGGGTCGGTACAAATAGTTTTTGGTTACATTGTATAGTGATTGCATTGTATAGTGAAGAAGTCTGGGTTTTAAGTGTACCCACCACTCCCATCTGTGCATATTGTATACAATAGGTGATTTTTCATCCCTTTACCCCTGCCCCTCTCCCTTCTGAGTCTCCAGTGTCCATGAAACTCTATGCCTTTGTTTAGCTCATTTGTTTGATCCTTAGTTTAGCTCACATGTATGAGTGAGAACACTCATGCAGTGTTTGGTTTTCTGTTCCTGAGTTAGTTCACATGGGATGATGTTCTTAAATTCCATCCAAGTTGCTGCAAAAGACATTATTTCATCCTTTTCGACACCCGAATAGTATTCCATTGTGTATGTATATCACATTTTCATTATCCACTGATCAGTTGATGGGCATTTAGGTTGATTCCATATCTTTGCAGTAGTGAATTGTACTGAGGTAAACATGTGAGTGCAGGTGTCATTTTTATGTAACAAACTTTGTTCATTTGGGTAGATATCTAGTAATGGGATTGCTGGATCAAATGGTAGACCTACTTTTGGTTTTTTGAGAAATCCCCATACCAATTTTTATGAAGGCTGTACTAATTTATACTCTCACCAACAGTGTATAAGTGTTCCCTTTTCACCACATCTGCACCAGCATCTATTGTTTTTTGATTTTTTAATAATGACTATTCTGACTGGTGTAAAGTGGTATCTCACTATGGTTTTAATTTGCATTTTCCTGATGATTAGGCACTTTTTTCCATATGTTTGTTGGACATTTTTATATCTTTTTTTGACAGATGTCTCTGTTCATGTCATTTGTCTACTTTTTAATAGGATTTATGCTTCTTTGTTGCCGATTGATTTGAGCTTTTTGTAGATTATGGATATTAGTCCTTTGTCAGATGTATAGTTTGCAAATATATTCACCTATTCTATAGATTGCCTGTTTGCTCTGATGATTATTTCTTTTGCAGTACAAAAGTTTTTTAGTTTAATTAAGTCCCACTTATTTATTTTTGTTTTTGTTGCATTTGCTTTTGGGGTTTTTAGCCATAAATTCTTTGCCAAGTCAATGTCTAGCAAAGTTTTTCCTAGGCTTTCTTCAAGAACCTTAATGGTTTCGGTTCTGACATTTAAGTCTTTAATTCATATTGAGTTAATTTTGTATATGGTAGGAGATAGGGATCAAGTTTCATTTTTCTGCATGTAGCTGTCCAATTTTCCCAGCACCATTTGTTGCATAGGATGTCATCTCCCCAGTGCATGTTTTTGTCTGCTTTGTTAAAGTCCATTTGGTTGTAAGTATTTGGGTGCATTTCTGGATTCTCTATCTGTTCCATTGGTCCCTGTGTTTGCCCTTGTATTAGTACTGCTGTTTTGGTGACTATAGCCTTGTAGTATAATTTGAAGTCAGATAATGTGATGTTTCCAGCTTTGTTCTTTTTGCTTAGGATTACTTTGGCTGTTCTGGTTCTTTTTTGGTTACATATGAATTTTAGTATTGTTTTTTCTAACTCTGTGAAAAATGACATTGGTAGTTTGATACAAATTGCATTGAATCTGTAGATTACTTTGGGTAATATGTACATTTTAATAATGTTGATTCTTCCAATCCATGAGCATGAGATGTTTCTCCATTTGTTTATGTCTTCCACTATTTCTTTCATCTGTATTTTGTAGTTCTTTTTGTAGAGATCTTTCACCTCTTTGGTTAAATGCTTTCCTGGGTTTTTGAGCTTTTTGGCTGCTAGTGTACATGGAACTAAGTTCTTGATATGAGTCTCAGTGTGGTTGTTATTGGTGTACAGCAGTGCTATTGATTTGTGTGTTGACTTTGTATCCTGAAACTTTACCAAATTCATTTGTCAAGTCCCCAGGAGTCTTTTGGAAGAATCTTTAGGATTCTCTAGGTATAAGATCATATTGTTGGCATACAGAGATAGTTTGATTTTTTCTTTTACAATTTGGATATGCTTTATTTCTTTTTCTTGCCTGATTGCTCTGGCTAGGACTTCCATTACTTTGTTGAATAGGAGTGTTGAATGTGGGCATCCTTGCCTTGTTCCAATTATGAGGAAGAATGGGTTTAACTTTTCTCCATTCAGGATGATATTTGCTGTGGGTTTGACACATATGGTTTTTATTATTTTGAGGAATATTTCCGCAGTTTCTATTTTGTTGATGGTTTTTATCATGAAAGGATGTTGGATTTTATCAAATGATTTTCAGCATCTACTGAAATGATCAAATGATTTTGTTGTTAATTCTGTTTATGTAATGGATTGCATTTATTGACTTGCATATGTGACCCATTTGGTCATGATGGATTATTTTTTAATGTGCTGTTGAATTCAGTTTGCTAATATTTTGCTGAGGACTTTTGCATCTATGTTCATAAAGGATGTTTGTTTGTAGTTTTCTTTTTTTGTTGTTGTATCTTTTCCTGACTTTGGTATCAGAGTGATACTGGTTTTGTATAATGAGTTAGTGAGAATTTCCTCCTCTTCAATCTTGTGTAATATCTTCAGTAAAATTGGTACCAGCTCGTCTTTGAAAGTCTGTAGAATTCAGCTGTGAGTTCATCAGGTCCTGGACTTTTTAAGTTGTTGTTGAGAGACTTTTAATTACTCTTTCAATTTTGCTACTCATTGTTGACCTGTTCAGGATTTCCATTTCTTTCTGATTCAAGGTTGGTGGAGAGGGGTTGAATATGTCCAAGAATTTATCCATTTCTTCTAGATTGTCTAGTTTGTTTGCATAGAGGTATTCATAATCTTTTGTATTTCTGTCATATAAGTTGTAATGTCTCCATTTTCATTTCTGATTGAACTAATTTGAATCTTCTGATTTGTTTCTTTCTTTTCCTTTTTTTTTGAGTTGGAGTCTCACTCTGTCACCCAGACTAGAGTGCAGTGGCTGCTCCTGGCCACCACAGCCTCAACCCGCTGGGCTCTGGCGATCCTTCCACCTCAGCCTTCCAAATAGCTGGAACTACAGGTGTGCGCTACCATACCCAGCTAATTTTTTTGATTTATTGTAGAGATGAGGTCTCCAAGTTGCCCAAGTGGGTCTCGAACCCACGGACTCAGGCAATTCACTCACCTCAGCCTCCCAAACCGTGGGATTACAGTCTGAGCCACCTCAGAGCCCGGCCCTGTCTTTGTTTCTTAATTAATTTTGCTAGCGGATTATCAATTTTGTTTATCTTTTCAAAGAACCAATTTTTTGTTCCATCAATCCTTTATATACTTCTTTTCAGTTTCATTTCCATTTAGTTCTGCTCTGCTTTTTATTATTTCTTTTCTTCTGCTACCTTTGGGTTTGGATTATTTGTGTTTTTCTAGTTCCTGAAAGTGTGACATTAGGTTCTCGATATGAGATCTTTCAGTCTTATTAATGTAGACCTTAAGCACTATAAATTTTTCTCTGAGTACAGCTTTGGCTGTGTCCCAGAGGTTTTGATAACTATGTTTCATTGTTAGCATTCATTTTGAGGAATTTTTAAAATTTCCATCTTGATTTCATTGTTGACCCAAGGATCATTCAAGAGCAGATTGCTTAACTTCCATGCTTTTGCTTGGTTTCACTAGTTCTTCTTAGAGTTAATTTCTAGTTTTATTCTACTGTTATCTAAGAAGGTGCTTGATATGATTTCAATATTTTAAATTTGTTGAGACCAAATTTGTGGTCTAGCATATAGTCTATCTTAGAGAATATTCTATATGCTGATGAGAAAAATGTACATTCTATAGTTTTGGGGTAGAATCTATATGTCTGTTAGTTCCATTTGCTCTAGGGTCTGCTTTAACTCCAGTGCTCCTTTGCTGATTTTCTGCCTTGATAATTGGTCTATTGCTGTCAATGTGGTGTTGAAGTCTCCCACTATTATTGTATCGTTGTCTTTCTCTTTTTTTTAGGTATAGTAGAATTTGTTTTATAAAGCTGAGTGGTCTGGTGTTAGATGCATATATATATATTTAAAATTGTTCTATTTGTTGGATTGTTCCCTTTATTTTTATATAATAATCATCTTTGTCATTTTTTACTGTTGTTTAAATTTAAAGTCTGTTTTATCTGATATAAGAGTGGCTACTCTTGCTTGCTTCTGGTTTTCACTTGCATGGAATATTTTTTTCCCACCCCTTTACCTTGAGTCTATGGAAATCATGTATATTAAGTAGGTTTCTTGAAGGCGGAGATAGTTGAGGTTATTTTTAAAAATCCATTCTGCCAGTCTGTATCTTTTTAGTGGGAGGATTGAGACTGTTGACATTCAGAGTTAATAATGATGTGTAAGGTACTATTCTGTTTATCATACTGGTTATCTATTTTGTTTGTTTACTTATCCATTGTGTTGGTGTTCCATAAGACTTGCAAGAGTTTTATGATTTCCAGTGTTTTCTCCTTTGTTTCAGTATTTAGAGTTCTTCTGAGTATGTCTTTTGCATAGAATGAAGGACTTTCTCTCTGTACTTTTACAAAAATGGACTTAATGACTTTGTTGGGATTTCACACATTTTGATCTTTGAAACAAAGCAATGTGTAGTCTTAAATACTATGGGCTTGCCTGATTTAATTCAGGAATGAAATAAACTAGAGCCTTAAGTTGTAGTTAAAAGGTTTGAGTTTGTAACTATTCATGGAGCCTTCAGTC